AGTTTTTTAATAACATTAAATTTAATAACTATAAAACTAATTACTTTTAAATGAATAATTTTATAAAAAATTATCAAAAATATTATTTGAAATTATTCCTAATTTGAAATTGTTAAAATAGAATAATTTCTAAAACTAACCATAACTCTATGAAGACTGGCCACAATAATTTAAAAAGAAATAAACATCACAATAATAAAGAAAAAAAACATTTACGCATCAACCATTCATTGCAGTTGCACAAAAAGAAAAAAACAACTAGCGCAATCTGTATCACGCAAACGTAAACCACTTTCGTTTAACAGCGCCATCTCGTGGTGAGATTCAACATGACACAACAAAACATTGAATGCTTGAAATAAAACCGCAACGGGACGTTAGAGTGTGTTGTTTTTTTCTTTTTATTGCAAATCGTAGATAATGTAAAAAAAGACCGCACTCTATCCAACGTTTCTCTTACAATAATAACAGAATTCTGGGTTAAAGTTTTGCGGTGTTACGATTTAAACCAAATAGTTTTCTTTTTATAAGGTAACCATTAATATTTTTTGTCTAAAAATGTAATATTTAATAAACTCAGCTTAATACACAATCTTTTTTCAAATAGGTTCAATATGAAAGTAAATAAAACAAATTTTTAAGGGCTTAAAAGCTCCATCTGTTGGTCAAAATTGAAAACTCAAGTAAAGACCCCGTAAAAATCTTACTTATTAATATTATATTATATATGCGAATAAGTAGATAGTAGAGCGTCGGTGGCTCAGTGGTCAAGCACTTGACTTGCAATCTGCAGGTCCTGGGTTCGAATCCCGCTATGTACCAATGTATTTTTCGATTTCCGATTTACATATGTACATTTATCCGACGTTCTTACGGTGAAGGAAAACATCGTGATGCAACCTGCACATATCTGAGAAGAAATTCAAAGATATGTGTGAAGTCAACCAACCCGCACTTGGCCAGCGTGGTTGACTATGGCCTAATCACCCTTAACTTAGGGTAGGCTCCGAACCCCTCGGTGGGGACATGCAGTGACCTGATGATGATGATGATATATGCGAATGTTGTGATGGATGGATGTTTGTTTGAATGTATCTCCGGAATGGCTGAACGTATTTCGATGAATCTTAGCATAGATGTAGAATATGGTCTGAGAGAACGCATGGGCTATTTATAATGTATTTTTCACGCAGACGGAGTCGCGGGCGGCTGCTAGTACTATACTAAAAATATACTACAAGCTCAGCTCTCATCTAATTTAAGTAGCTTATCGTTGGTTTCTGAAACCAAAATATCTAATTAAAACATTATGTTACCTTTGTTTTTGTCAAAGAATATGAATACGATGATGACATGTTTCATACATGGATTTTGGTCTGAGAAACCCACGGTTAATCACTTGTTTATTTAGTGATTTTCAATATCATCAATATCTATCACGCTAACAGACATCAAACGGTAAAAGATGTGATTTACTCTAATGATCGACCAGTTTCTAGACAAACTATATGCCACTTTCCTTGGATGCATTCACTTTCAGTCATCGTATGCGATTAATGATAACCCTCGCACGAGACAACTGCAAAAACAACGCAATGATGCAGCTCATTCAGTTTCCAATTACAACTAAAGATCTTTTTTATCAAGTTTATATTTTCTTTGAGATCAAACAACGAGACTACTGTCATTTGTTTTTACTCAACAGATATTACTAATATTAAATGCGAATGTTTGGATGGATGGATGTTTGTTAGAAGGTACCATGACCGTTGCATGGATTTCGCTTAAATTTAACATAGATGTAGAACATAGCCTCGAAGAACACATACTACATATAATAAAAATAGTTCACGCTAACGGAGTCGTGGGCGACAGCTAGTAAATTCATATATTCTTAACATGTATGAAAAGGCAAGCATTATTGGATATACGATGACGGTGGTTTGAAGCCTAAAGGTTAAAACTAATAGATAATTACGCCTCCCGGGAGCAACTAGTCGCTGCACGGACCACGCGTAGACCACGGAACAGCGCAAAGAACACGTGCTAGTCGCCCCTTCACACATCGCCAGCGGGTTAATTTTTCTAACAAATTACATAACAAGGGTCACTCAAAGATATCCCGAAATTGAGTCTACGCGTTAAGTAAGGCTGTTCTGAATTCATGTATGGCTTTGAATTAAAACAAAACCCTAACATCTATCATATGAAATAAAGGAAAAATCAACCCCATAGGTTGTCAATCTTACTAATATTATAAATACAAATGTTTGATGTATAAATGGATAGGTGTTTGTTAAAAGGTATCTTTATAAGGGTAGCATGGATCTCGTTGAAATTTGCTATAGTCTGGCATACACATAGGTCAGTAAAGTTTATTTCAATTTCGCGCGCAAGGAGTAGCGGGCGACAGCTAGTATTCATAATAATCTTGATATATTTCAATGGAACATCTATTTTATTAGAGAGTTGACAAACTTTCTGCTCACCTCTTTTAATAAACGTCGTGTATATAGAGCGAATCGCCACCAAACTTAATATTTAATGCACGACTGCCTACAATCAGAAACAGCAGAAATGTCTTAGGAGAAAATTGCTAATTTATAATTTTTATTATTTTTCCATGCTTTAATTAATAAATTCAACAAACTCTACTAAACATTTTTGTAGAATTTGTAATTATTTTAAAAATAAATTAATAAATAATAAAGCCATCTACAAACCTTTAGTATTAACTGCATAACTGAAAGTGTTCAGACAGAGTTACATATATTTTACTAAAATTATAAATGGGAATGTTTATATGGTTGTTTGTTGGAAGGTATCTCCAGAACGGCTGAACGGATCTTGGTGAAATTTGGCATACATATATGACATAATCTGGTAGAACACATAGGCTAATTATGTGTTTATTTAATTCCGCAATTTACTGAAACATAAAGCCTAAAGTATCAATTGCACAATTTTAATCAAACATTAGGACTGTTTATAAATGAAGGTGTGCAGAGAGATATGTTTGGTATAAAATATTTTCACTGTTAATAACATAGTATCAAAATGTGTATAAAAACAGTTTTCATTCAATGCCCCTGGCATTTTTCGTATCGCTTTCTGAATTCAAATTATGACGCGATTCTACTTAATATCAACAATTGTGATTACAAAAGCAGGTAATATTTGCCAATTCATAAAAGATAAATATTTAAAATTTTAAGACACATAATTCTCCTCGGTAAGAGCGTCGGTGGCTCAGAAGTTAAATATTTGACTTTTAATTTGCAGGTCCTAGGTTCGATTCTACCTATGTGAAGTTACATACGTACATTTATTCGACATTCTTACGGTGAAAGAAATCATGATGCAATCTGCACATCTCTGCCAAAAAATTAAAAGATATATGTGAAGTCTACCCGCACTGGGCCAGCGTGGTTGACTATGGCCTAGTCGCCCTAACTTAAGGTTGGCTCATGCCTCTCAGTGGGGACGTATAGTGAGCTGATGATGAAATTATATAGTCCTAACTACGCACCTTCTTTAAACCATGAAAACACTTACTACAGAGACAAAATTTATAATCTGTATTCAGATAAAATCAAGTGAAACTTTAACACAGTCAATTAATTTTTAATCGAATCAGACTTCCAAAGATGTCGTGATTTACAATCATATTGAAAGTTTACGGATTAAATTTAATGAAAAATAGAAAGAAAATCTTATAAGCTATTGATGAGAAATGCATGTTAATGTTAAGATCTTCAAAGAAACTAAAGCTTTAGAAGTCCTAAATAAGTGTGGATGGATGGAGCGAATTCAAATATGACGGTTGATAGAAATCTGGAAGAATAACATAATGTGCCGACTCTTTGAAGGGAAAATGCCTGATTACAGTTAGGGGAAAAATGTTAGAAACTGATAAGTATTTTCTGTAGTCCTTTTTTATTATCGAAAGTGTATTATGCAAATGTTATTTAAATTTAATTTATATAACACTAGCAGCTGCCCGCAACTTCGTTGCGCGGTATTAAAAAAATGTAGAGAGAAATATAGACTATGTCATCCGGGGTTAGTGTAGCTTACCAACAGTAAAAGAATATTTTCAAATCGATTCAGTAGTTTCGGAGTCTATTCAATACAAACAATCAAATATTCATATTAATACTAACTGTCGCCCGCGACTCCGTCCGCACAGAATAAAAACACATGATTAGTGGCAAAATTTAGTGGATATCCGTTCAGTCATTCTGGAGATACCTTCTAACAAACATCCATCCAAACATTCGCATTTATAATATTAGTAAGATTAGTATAGATAAGTTATTACTGCCAAAACACATATTACTATTACTACAGCCCTTTTTTAAAATAATAAGAAATTTATATGTCCTCAGGTTTTGACATTGGCAACGACATTCTGTTATGTAGAGTTAAGTTTTAGTTGATTTATTGCAAATGCATTTAACCGTGACATTATATTGTTTTGCCATTCTAAAATGAGTTTTACATCGTTCTTTTAAAGTTGTTTATTGAATGGCAGTTCTACTATTCTTAAAGTTTGTTTTCATTACTTGATAAATAAAAGTTCTTTTATTAAAACCTTTTTAAATAAACATTTATGTTATTAAATTATTTATTTAATTTAAAAATAAAATTAACTAACACTGGCAGCTAATGCTTGTCTTATTCTTGATTAAAAAGAAAAACATATTTTTTGTAAAATAAAATAATCGGACATTCCCTCTACTCTACTGAGTGCGTAAGTTAATAAAGTAAAACTTTTAAATAAATATGTAAACAAAAATAAACCTTAAAACATAACAAGAGAGGATAATTTAGCGTACACACGTTAAACTTTTTGCAATCAGCCTTCTATGAAAATATAATGGAGCAAGAGTACACAGTACTAATCATCCAACTATGTGAAACATATAAAAGCGGACCGATCCACTCGCCTTATCAAATTGTAACCGTCTTCGTTTCCATACAGACGTGAGTGGCTGGTATTAAAAAAAATGTATCTTAAATTATATATCTGTTCCTTAATCATTGGATATACATTAGCTCTACCTAATCCTGAAGTTAGAGATGGAATACAAAATAACATAGAAGTAGAATCTTCAGCAAGAGTATTAGGAAAAGATTGTTCAGGAGGTATCTTCAGTCCGACATGTTTGAAAATCGAAGCCATATCTATGTTGGAGAAATTAAGTTCAAAGGAAGAATTGCAACTGTTACCAGGTGTTAGTGTTGTTAAGGAAGAAAAAGAAAATGCCAGCAAAGCTGAGGAGTTTGCCGCGGAATTGGCAAGATCTTTACCATCGAAGCCTGATGAAAGATTGGATAAATATCTTTTGTATAGACTTGGGAATTATTTAGATACACACTCAGTGAAACTAAGGCTGTTAGATGATGGTGCGTCAGAGGATGCTAGGGCTTTGATGGGTGAAGGACGAGGTAAAGGTGGACTTGGAGGTGGAAAGAAAGGAGGTATGGGTGGACTATTAGCTGCCGCTCTTATGATGAAAGGTGAGTGCTCTATTGCCAATAAAACTCAGTGAATATTTTAGTTGAAGTTTCGAGCTTTCATCAGAACACAAGTGAAGTTAAATGTTTTCTTGTGTGTCAGTTGAGATGTTATACTTATGTAGTAAATAAGTGTTTTGTATTTAAATATATAATAATTAAAACACTGTGCATAAATACAAAACCAATTTACTAAATAGATACATAAAATATATAGTCAAGAATCGTGAAATAAAAGTAGAAAACGGTAAAAATATTAGTTAAAACATTCTTTGAGATTGTCAATTGTGGCTTGAACATCTAAAAAGTTCATGTACCCAAGAACGTCTGTATTTTAGTCCTAATAATACTTTAATTGAAAAATAAACAACTGATTTTTTCAAATTGAAACCTATTACATAATCATGGTACTAAATTTACCAGCGGACGAAAAAATTATTACCAAAAGTTACTAAAACTTGTAATCCGTCTAATTTTCTACGACAATGTGATATGTTCCCTATACGACTATTAATATTAAATTTTAATCTAATGATTCGGCAATGTAATTTGACTACATATACGTATTAGTTTTGACTTTTGATATATATAAAACAAACCCAAAAGATTTACTGATCAAATATCTCGATGAAAATGAAAATCTTTTAAAAACTATATATATATATATATATATAGACTTTTGATATATATAAAACAAACCCAAAAGATTTACTGATCAAATATCTCGATGAAAATGAAAATCTTTTAAAAACTATATATATATATATATAAATCAATTGCTGTTCGTTAGTCTCGCTACAACTCGAAAACGGCTGAACGGATTTATTCTATCTTGGTCTTGAAATATTCGTGGAGGTCTAGGGAAGGTTTAAAAAGGTTAGAAAAATTTTAATAATTGCCGGGAAAACCCTAAAAAGCCGTTTTCTTTTCCAATGTAAGCAATTTAAACTTTATTGATTAGTTTTTTTAATTCCGCGCGGACGGAGTCGCGGGCGACAGCTAGTAAGGTATATTTATTATTATACACTACGTTTTTTACACATGATGTTGTTTGGATTTTTATACAGAATTGAAAGGCAACTTTCAATAGAAACAAAGAATAACATATTAAAAAGTAATCTAACGCTAGCTAATAACAAAGTCGGAATCAGAGCATTAAAATTATAGAGAAAAATGACGAGTAAATTTTACTATTACCACGGAGTAACCATTGACCGTTTACCGCAAAACGACAATCTTGAACAACTTTTACATTAAGTCCCTGTCAGAGGTAAAATGCGCTTACTAAAAAGCTTAGAACAAGACATTTAAAAAGACTTGGTTAGTCTTATTTTATAATAGTATGTGTAACTTCAGTCCTTTAACTAGATTCTGGTCGAACAGAATTTGGATTGGATGCAATTTTCTTGATAAATTTATTTTTTGAAAATGTGCCTTCTTCGGTAGGAAAAACTGCGATTTTGCGGCGTTAATAACATTATTATAAAGGTATTTTTTAACATTGTATCCGGCCAGTTGTCATTTGTTTATTCGAACCTCAGAACAATGAACAACAATCGCTGTCTATTTAATTTATGTTACTCTAACCGTGGGTTAATGTTTTCAAAGATAATGAGGATAAGTTTTATAAAGAAATTTAGAACTCAGAAACCAACTATAAGTCTGAAACCCAATGAATCGTAATATTTACCTATACCTCGATATAACTTAGAACCCTACTTAAAAAGTTGTACCAGGCTTTCAAGCAAGCAAGTATTTCATGTCTTCAAGCCCTTGTACCTATGTAGGGTCGTCATACTATTTACTACTTTTCCATACATCTCTTTCAGTCAAGCCCTTCTTACTCATATCCTCTTTCAAACAATTCATCCATACATTCTTAAGTCTTCTTTTTACTATGTCTCTTAATTAAGGCATGTAAACTTAATTTTATTATTTAAAAATTTGTTAATCTAATCTTTGCAGGTACCCTCATGTCTATTGGTCTTGGAGGCCTCGCCATGTTAGCGGGGAAGGCGTTGATGACAGCTCTAATGTCACTTCTCTTGTCAGCAATCATTGGTTTGAAATCACTGACAAGCGGTGGCAAGTCGACCACATATGAAATTGTATCGAAGCCAGTTTATAGCCATTCGCATTCCCATTCTACCGCGCACGAAGATGTCGGAGGTTACGGTCATTCTGGATATGGTAGGAATTTAAAAGTAAGGAGACGTTAATGTTATTGAGTCGACAACAAGATTCAAACTTTATGGCTGTTCGTGATTCATGCAAGAGCTACGAGAGCATGACTGGACATATTTAAATGGAGAAATTTTTTATTGATGTGACATTTGTATATGGACATAATTGTTGTCTCTGTGTTTTCAAAGAGAATAAAAGAGATGGCAATATTGTACTATATATAGATGAAAACTCACCCTAGTGTTCTGTGCGAATGGTGTGAGATCACAAACCGTCATAAAGTTTGGATAGCATTATATAACAACAAAAGAATGGAGACGGTTAAACTGTGAATTATTTATTTTATTTATTCCTAGTTTTATTGACTTTTATTACGAATGTATTTAATTTGAAATATTTATTTGTATAATCGAATGAGTACAAATACGAACAGTTATTGCATTTTAAAGTAGACTAAGTATAAAAAGTATTTATTGAGATTAAGCTTTAAGTGTCACTTTTTTATGTTTTATTATTTATGTATTATATAAACATTATTTTATTTTGTTTATTTATTTTTTTGTTTATTTTATAAATATGAGATTTATTTGTTTTTGTTAATATTTATAATAATCTTATGTATTATATATTTTTTAAATAATTTTGAATATATCTTACATTTTTTTATTGTGTTTGTTTTCGTGTGTATTAACGGAATGTTATTTATGTACTTATATTTTATTATAATTCTATTTATTATTATATATTATATCGTGTAATATATGTATATATGAAGTTTTAATGATTAAAATTTATGTATTTCATTTTAAGTATATAAATAGTATATTTTGAAATAAATATATATTTATTATTTATTATATATGTGTATGAAACCAAAATGTGTATTACAAATTATTTTTATATTGTTATATTTTTAAGTAAAATATGTGATATTTTTTTTATATATGTTTTATGTTTTGTTTGCACCAAATACAGAATATATAAAAAACTGTGTAAAGTTATTTGAGATTCCTTTCTTTTACTAACACAATGTATGAATGTTTCATAAAATAAGTAGGGAAGGACTAAAATTGAGTATCCTGCTTTCTTAGTTTTTTTGTATTTGGATGTATACGTGTGTGTAAGATCCAGTGTTCTCGCTTATAGCCTAAACGGCTGAATCAATGTTAACGGTTGAGGTTATCATTCGATTCGTATTATCTTTAGTGCTATAGTATCAGACAGTTTATTTGATGAACAAATACAGTTATATACAGTGCGTTTCAGAGAAGTCAAAGGCTATTACTTGATTAGGCCATCCCCAAATCCGGCAACGCATCTGCGGTTCCTCTGGTATTGCTGATGTCCATGGGCGTCGTTGAACACCTCGGTGTTCCCGCTGCTCGTTTGCCCCCTACTGTAAAAAAAAGAAGACCCTAAAGGCTATTGGTAAAGGCCAGATTTAAAGCAATGTTTGAGAAACACAATAAATAATGCAGTAAATATTTTTTTTAAATAGTTAATAATTAATAATCCAATAGTGTTAAAAATAGTATTATTGAATATTAGATTTACTTATTATACCTATATTTTAGTGCTGAAAATACTAATATACATTGGACAGGAATCCATACCTAGCTGGTTAAGTTAAAGTCAAATAAAAGGACAAGGACTTTATTTTAAACTACCTGTCGCCCGCGACTCCGTCGGCGCGGAATTCAACCGTTCTGATACCTTCAGACAAACATCCATAGCGATGCGACCTCTTCTCCAAATATGGAGAATTGATCGCCAGCCTTCGTTAGTCTGAGAGGCACTTCAAGAAAAAGAAGTAACGACCATCCAAACATTCGCATTTATAACATTATTAAGATGCTACTAATAGTATAAAATAAAAAAATAACTAAAAATAAAAAGTAAAAGTTTTCGTGCTTTTTCGTTTAACTGACCTCGAGAAATGCGCAGTCATTTTCTTTTTTCATTATTCTTATTTCTTTTGTTACGATCAGAGAAAGTTAAATTGTTTTAATAATTATCACATCGAAATCAAGCAAAGACTACAAAGGTAGGAACACCAAAAAAAGTGTGGAATGACTGTGTGAAAGAGGATATGCGTAGGAAGGGGGTAGATTCAGATATAAAGACGGAGTACAACATAATGTGCCGACCCTCAATAGCGATAGGTTGATGATGAATTATCGAATCCAGATTATTTCTATTACAGTATTATTTCACTTCATTTAAATTATAGTAAGATTTATCATACTAGCTTTTATGTGGCGACTTCGTCAGCATGGATTTCAACAATTTTGTACGTAGCTTATGCGTTATTCTATACAGTAATCTATTTTAGCATTGACCATTGACATTATTTGACCATTCTGGAGTGCTCTCCTAATCCATTTTTCCCTCCATTTAAGCATTCTCATTTATAATATTAGTATTTTGTAAGAACTAAGACATTGCGTGAAATCTTTTTCGAAATAACAATCGTATTTGACTTTCATAAGATGACAATAGACTAGACAGAAATTTAAATTCGTTAAGCTTATTTACTCCATATGGTTTCGTCATCAGCTCACTATACGTCCCCACTAAGGGGCTCGGAGCCTAGCCTAAGTTAGGAATTACTAGGTCATAGCCAACCACGCTGGCCCAATGCGGGTTGGTTGACTTCACACATATCTTTAAATTTCTTCTCAGATATGCGCAGGTTGCATCACGATGTTTTCCTTCACCGTAAGAACGTCGAATAAATGTACATATGTAAATCGGAAATTGAAAAACACATTGGTACATAGCGGGATTCGAACAGAGGACCTGCAGATTGCAAGTCAAGTGCTTGACTTCTTAGCCATCGACGCTCTGAATAACAATAGATTATTTAATATTTAAATAATCGGTTTTATAATAAAAATACATTTAGTAACACTTTCTTCAAACTAATTCAAGTGAAAATCAACTTTTTTACTGTCAACATTCAACCGAGATGTTTGATACCATTCTATCGTTATTCCGTTTAAATTGCTCTTTTTAACAATCACGTCAATTCTTGTTTGATTTTTCCACTCAGATTGGTATAAAATAAACTAGCTTAGTTCAAATTGTATCAGTCAAGTTTGAACATCGATGGAAATGCATCAAAATTGAATAAAAGTGTTGTGAAAAAGTGTCAAAAATGTTTAAAAGTTTATTGAAAGCAACGGCCTTTGTGCTATGTGTGTACCGTATTAATTGTTCAATAGACGGATCTATATCTAATGAAATTCAAGCAGAAAAAACTAACACTAGCGAAAGATCTGGAAGATCTTTGAATAAAGAATGTAATAATAACCTTAACGCAAAATGTATAAAAATACACGTACTATCGTTCTTGGAAGATTTAAGTTCAAAAGATGAGTTAACACTTCTACCCGGATTGAGTATTGTTAAGGAAAACTACACATCGAATACTAGCCCTGAGGAAATGGCTGCGGAATTATCTCGCCAATTCCCTGGGAAACTGGAAGAGAAATTAAATAGGTTTCTTATTTACCGCTTACAAGATTATTTGGATGGTCACTCTTTGAGATATAAGTTATTGGATCCGAAGACATCGCAAGAGGCCTTAGATATGGCTAATGGTGATGGAGAGTCAGTGGGGAGGAAAGGAGGTGGTGGTGGTTTAGGAGGTGGCGGCAAAGGAGGTGGCGGTGGCGCTTTACTTGCTGCTGCGTTGATGATGAAAGGTGGGTATAAGATTTAAAAGCATTATAAATACACTATTTTGATAATATTGTAATTATTAATGGTTTCACTCGAGGGTTTTAGCGATATAGTTATCAATATTGTTCTATTGTGATTTAAGAATAATTTAGATGAATCAAAGTTAGATGCTTCAATTTGTAACTTAAGTTACTTCTAGGATTTAATATAGTAAAGGAACATAACTTTGTAGAGACTACTTACCTATGTTTTTATGTTATTTTTTAGTAAATAGGTGAACGATATTATTTAAGTTTAGTTAAATATGAGTATAAATTTCCAAAAGTACATTTTAATGTTATAAATAAAACAGTCAATAATTTTTAATATTAACAGTAGATAATTATGTCCAGAACCTCTTTTATATAAGAACGTCGTAGTTCTTATATACATCATCAATGTAGTAATGTAAAGAAAATTTGTACTTTTAAAAACAAAATATTGTAATCTAAAACTGATTTCGATAGCAATTTGGTGAGGCGCCTGTTAAAAAAAATCGGCAATTATTTTTGTTTTTACTATTTTTAAATTTTTGAAAAAAAAAAATAGTTATAACAGTCATATTTGATATTATTAAAGGTTTTTTCTTGTTTTCAGGTGCATTAGGTGCAGCGGCATTAGGTGCGCTAGCGTTACTAGCTGGGAAGGCTCTCATGACGGCGTTAATGTCACTCCTTTTATCAGCATTAGTAGGATTGAAAGGTGGTGGTGGTCATAAATCTACTACATATGAGATTATCACCAAACCTGAGGTGTCTCATCACCATTCACACAGCCATGAAGAACACCATGAACATGAACATGGCCATCATGGTGGTTATAGACGAGCTTATGATGCTGATTACAATAGTTATATGCCTTATGACAATATTAGTTAAGTATCAAGATTATTAAGTCGGAGTATAAACTCCGAATAGATTGACATTTTGATGAAATTTCAACTAAAAATAATTAATGTTTAAAATAATTTTGAAATGCATTTTTAGACTTTATATAAGTATTTTTTTATGTTTTATAGAACAGATTTGTTTTATATTAATTTAGTATTAAGTTATTTATTTTATTTATAGTTAGTTATTATTATTTTTTATTCATAATTAATGGTAACTTAAATTATTTTATTAATTAAAAAGTTACGTATTTATTTCTTATATGTAAATATATTCATAAAATAATACCAAAAATCATTTGCTTAAATCTTAATTTATTTTTTATTTTTTCTTCATTGCTTTTTTATGTTTTATTCAATTTTATTTTAATATTGTAAATCATCCGCACGATATCTTTCGCCCACCGCATCCACGATTCATTTATTTTATTTATTTACCTAGCTATCAACTCCGTCTCTGAATTAAAAAAAAACTTAATTAGTAGTCTATGTTTTCTTCCAGACTGTATTCTACATCTATACCTAATTTCAGCGAGATCCGTGCAAAGTTCTGTAGATAGAAAATCGCATTTATAATATTAGTAAGATTTATATATATATATTTATTCTCGTATTGCAGTATTAACTGTGATAATTATGTATTATTCTTTTGTCTAATTAAATAAAATATATATAATAAACATAATACAACATATACCAAATATATAATATAATAAATATGTATAAATATATTGTAAAAATAAAAATAAACGCATATATCAATAAAGTACTGATTATTATTTCTAAACCTAATACAGTATAGAACGAAGTTCTTTTAACCGTGGGTTTCTGAGTCCAAAATGTCCGTATAAATCATATTTTATCTCTATTTTATTAAAGATAATGACAGGGATAACGACATGATTTATACAGAGATTTCGGTCTCAGAAACAAATGGTAAAAAACCAGATAAAAAGCAAACAAAGCTTATACTTAAAAGTTAGTGTACACGAACCCAAGAAGCCCCGGGACCCATATAAATGAAACAAAAATAATTTTAATTAGCGTTAAGCGCAATCACAACACAACAGTAAAACAAAACGCTTGCGGGCATTTAAATAGCGCAGCGCCATCTAGTCTTTTTAGAACAAAACTTATATTTTTATCAAGATTGTACTTTTTATTTGCGCGTGAACAGTTACTAAGTGTTTTATTTGTTTTTTTTACAACTCCTAAAATCTTCTCTGCCTTCTTAAAAACTCTACCAAAGTTTAATAAAAATCTGTCCAATGGCGTAGTAATGCATAAGGAATAACACACACGAAACATAAGATGTTATACATCCAAAGAGTACATAAAAATAACTAGGGTGACGCAGTAAGCCGAAGTGTGTCTCCACTTTCCCCTATCCCGCACCTTCCCAACCCAGTCCCGGAAATGTAGCTAACGAAGATCTTTATCCATCACTTAGAATGGGTGATATATTAGACAATCCAGTGGTCGTCGTCCAGTTAGCATTCACATGGATGAGACCAATAGTTTACATGTAACGGCATATTTTCATATCACATGTTATCTGTACGTAATTATCTTTATCCGAGTAAAAGATTGTATTGATAAAATGCTTTCAGTTCATTATAACAACGATAAGCGAGCGGGATAATCTTTTGGAAAGTCTGTCTGTTGGACATTAGTTTTATCAGATCTGTGTGCGAGAAAATCGCATACCAATTTTCTTCACGATCCCGATGTGGAAACCCATAAATAATAAGAAACACATCTTATAAAATAATGTGATCTTGCTTATTATCATTGAAAAAATTGAGATGATAATATGTTTGTGGGTGTTTTTGGCAATTAGCAGTTAGGTTCAATGGTGTATGTTAGACTTATTTTATATTTTTAAAATACATTTTCATTTTTATAAGACTTAGCTAAGATATTCAACATGGTCACCAAGATCATTGAATATTAAAAAAAACAGCATCTGGTTAAAAATAAAACATCTAAAATCGACTAACATCATATGAAGAAAGAAACACACTAAGCCTGAGAAGGTGCCTACGAGAATGCAATAGCAAAATTTGATAAAATTGGATAATCCGAATTTGTTATTGAGTTATTGGATATAACTAACGTAGTAAAGATGACCTTCAAAAATACAGTCTAATTGATCACCTCCTTCCTTTTGACGTCGGTTAAAAAGACAACATAAGTATCGCTATTTTTGTAAGTATTTTAAAAGTTCGTCAAAGTACGTTATTCCTCTTTGTTACGTCTAGCTATTTAAGACCTACCACTTAAATATATCCTCACAATATTACTAGTAATCTATTAAATAGGATATAACCTCCCTTCAAATCTGTACTCCTTTAAAATTTATTTTCCGCCTGTAACAAAAAAATAGCAATTTTAACGTTACAAAGAATGGCATTAAATAAGCAAAAAAGCACTTATGTAAATAAAATGCTGCAGCCGTTTGAGCAATTTGATAAGGAATAGAAATTAATATTAACAAAAATAGATTTCAGTAGCACGATAATTTGACACAATTGGAAAATAGCAGTTTAATTGTGATTATTTAGATTTTTCTACGGCCTACATGAGCACCATCTATCGACAAATTATTGAACTTTCTAACCTTTCAAAAGACGGCAAATACGGCACTTTTATATATAAATATAAAAATAGATGGCGCCTTAAAAAAATATTATAAAAGCAAAGCAAAATGTAGAAGAAAATATATTTTTATAGTTGGAAACTCTACAAAACACGTTTCGACTAAAAAGCTTCTTTTTTAATATCTTTTAATTCCTAATTTAAATATTCTTAAAATTCCTTGAAAATTATTTAACTGTACATTCATATAAATTCAGATAAAAATTGTAAAAATATGAAAATAGCATTAATTTTTATATGACTTCAGAAACTATCATCAGCCTTTATCTCCCCACTGGAGATTGGCTTTTTCTAATATCTTCCATAGTTTGTTGTCCTTCACTTTGCACCAACAAACATTATTGTTGTTTCGTTCAATTAACAATATCCGATATGGTCTAGTGGCTAGGATACCTGGCTCTCACCCAGGAGGCTCGGGTTCGATTCCCGGTATCGGAATACATTTTTATGGTTTTTTGAACCACCCCAAAAAAAATGTTTTGTAAAAAACCTGTTAATCAGTTTTAATTGTTTGTGAAATAAATCATGTATCTTCTTATATGACTGGGGTAAACAGAAGTAACATTTATTTAACTTCATATGGCTAAGTTCATTTAGCCAGAAATATGACTACTTTAACATATATTCTGGTAACGTATAAAACTATTAAGTTCCACACTTCTTTTTTATTTGTTACTATCAGTTGCCCGCGACTCCGTCCGCACTGAATTAAATAAAGGTTAATAAGTAGCGTATGTGTTCTTCCAGGCTATGTTCTACATCTATGCCAAATTTCATCAAAATTCGGCGAGTTGTTCCAGAGATAACTTTAACTAACATATATCCATCTAAACTTTCACATTTATAATATTAGTATGATAGATTTTGACTTTGAGGAAAAATAACTAGGTCAAGGGCTAGATGTAATTGTCAGACGGATCTCGGAAAATGCCGTCTAAACTTGACTCGTTTATAGTGACCGCGTGCCTACGACAAGCTGTCGCTTTCAAAAGGCCCGTTCGCACTACTTTATAACTTAAACTAAGTTTAACTAAGATTAATGTAAAATCTTAAAGTTTCGACTATTTTTTTGTCTTACATAAAACTCGTTATTTAATACTTAAATGAAATTATTCTTTTACTGATTTTTCCTTTTCACATTTAATTTGCTAAAAACTCAAAATCTTATTCATTATTATTCTATGTTACCGAAATAATTATAACTACTAAATTGTATTGCGATTTATTTCTAACATGGCAGTAGGAACTCTTACAAAAATTCATCGTCTTTGCACAAACTTATACTGTATTTTAGCCATGGAAATTCACTAAATCACTCGTAAATAAATAAATCCATTAGAAAACCAATACCAATATTAGTAAAATACCATAAACATTATAGGGCGGGTAAAGAGAGCCAAACATGACCCCTCAATATGTGTAGTTTTGTGGTACACCTAACTCACAAACTAATACTATTTCAGATTAGGGCTTTGTTACAGAAGTTTATTATTATTTTATTATCTCTCTAACGCCATCTGAATATTATTTAAATTATATTTTACAAATTTGACAATATAGCAACCTCGCAACCCTAAGGCTCCTTTTGTCTGTAAGGTAACATTTGATAAATAATAATACTATTTGTCATACTACTAACACTATCGAATAGTTAAAAGTTACGATAAGTTAAACTTTCGGTTATAAGTATGGTTGTAATCGGCGTGCACATTCGGTCAAAGACCTAGATCTTCAACTGGCTCTTGAACATGGTTTGGCAAATGATAGTGATGTCTCTAACAAAATGTCGATATCGATAATTCCACATGTACGAATATTCCACTTGAATAGTGCTTATCAGTTGATTAAAAAATAATATTCAATAATCTCTAGCCAATTCGCACTGGTCAAAAAGAAAAAAATGTAATTTTAGTTACTGCTTATTTTTTGTGTCAAATGAATGAAAAAAGTGTTTTTAAATAATTAATTTTACGTTAAAATATACCTATAACAAATGTAGGTCTTAAAGTTAATAAAATCGGTAGAAATCTAAGAGTTTATTGCATAACGTCCTTTAATACTCTCACTGTTTTTTTTATTTTAGTCTTCTAACACTACAACATTTTTTTGAAGATTTGATTTATCGATAAGAAATCTGGCCATCCTTATCGCTTCCAAGAGGTGCGACAGAGAGGTCCGCCTTTCATCGCCCCTCTCACAACTTACCTCATCTAACTTAGTAACTTACCCGATAGCTCGGACGTAGCATGTGTTTCGAGATTAACTTAAATTGACCTCTAATTATATCCTACATACGCGCGTAAACAATAACATTATTTTTTTTAATAATTTTTTTAATCTGTGGTGTTGTGTTTTTTTTCTGAGAAGCGTTGGGATAAAGGTAATTTACATTAAGTTTAATTATGTTTTAATATGATGATAATTTCATAGAAACCTGTAAGTAGCCGAGGTAAATCTGGGTTGAATATATTCCTCATTATTACTTTATGTTAGTTTCTCTTTAAAATAAATCTTATATTGATACTATAATATATATTTATTAATCTATAATAATATAACAAAAAGGTAACATTTGATGATTTGTAATAGTATCCAAAACTAATGAACTGATTTTGTAGATTCTATCACTGTTGGGAAGCTACACTATATCCTGATGACATAAAGATAGGTGACCTATATTTATAACTATATTTTATTGATTCTGTCTGCCCACTTTTTCCGCTAGTTGTTTTCATATCTAATTGATTTGTTTTAAAGCAACTGATGTTTATTATTATAAGTTTGTTTATAAGCTGTAAATAGGTTTAAGCTTGCGGTCACATCGGTAGTGACAAATTCTTGATTGAGATTTGGGGTAGTGGGGGGAACCACGTGGTTGTAACCATTGGCAACAAATAAAAAACAAAGTAATAAGACAGAATTAATTATGATTTAGTGGGTGTTCCAAATTTCTTAGTTCCACCTCCCTTAATCGTCCAATGAATGAAGGAATCATACTATGACCTAATTTTGTAAATTGTTTATTCTCGTGTATTTGAAAAAACCGATATACATTGTTTCTGGTGAAGCATGGGCGTCGCCAGGGGTGGGGGCATTATAGACTGCTGTCACCTCTTGAGATCTAGCCTGGACCCTATGCTGGCGACGTCCATGAGTAGTGGTGTTTTGGCACTAAAAACATAAAGTATAGAATAACTGTAATCAAGCTAAAAATGACAAAGATACAAGCCGAATAAGGTCTGGGACAAACTTTCGGTTTTTGGAGAGAAAACGTCAGCGTTATCACGGAATATAAATTGCAAATTATAGTCCGAAATTCAAACCGAATAGGCATAATTACATGCCTGGAATTAATTAAGTTGTAGTTGGTTGGAAGAGAAATTTCATCCTGAGTTTGTGACTAGCATTTGACAACAAACAAGAATTGTTTATTGTTTTGTTTTAAAGAAACTTAATTATTAGCCTATGTATTCTTAAAACGCCGTTCTGCAGATACCTTCTAATAAACATCCATCTATTTATACATCTAAAAATTGCCGTTTATAACATTAGTGATATTGTTATTTGGTTACTGGATTTAATTGAGGTCACACGTCATCGGCGTTGCCTTTCTTCTTTACATTATTTGAATCAAAACAAAATATTGTGTGGATAGATTAAATCATTAGCTGCCAGGTTTACGTTTAAAAAAATTCTAATGATTTTTAAAAAACAAATCCATAAAAGACTAGAGACAAAAAAAAATAGAGAAATCTGTGATACCATGAATAATCTGTATATTTTAGAAATAATAACACTTCTCATTCCTTATTTTTAAAAATTAAATCGTTATTGACAACGAAAGAAAAAGTCAAGAATAGATCCATACATAGGACCATACATGGATAAATTATATTCGTATATAGTAGCACCTCAATATTGTTTCAAGCGTAAACAACTATCTTTCGTTCATATTTACGCGTACTTTTCATTTCGTTTGAGTCGAACTGGAGTAATTTCGACCACTTTCTCCGGTCAAGTTTAAAACTGCTATTTGGCTGTCGATTTCATGATGGATTTATTATGTCTTGTTTATTTAAAAAGAGGGCCTTGGAAGGTTTATCTTTGTAGGGGTCAACGACATCAATAGACCTTTTGATTAATCATTTTTTAGGGCCCCGTACCTTATAGGAAAAAAACGGAACCTTTATAAGGATCACTTTGTTGTCCGTCCGTCTGTCTGTCAAGACATTTTTTTTTTAATTCTGCGCCGACGGCTACGTCTGCGAGTGTATAAATATAGAGACGCTTATTTTAAGACATATATTGTTTATTATTACATATGTAGAAATAAAAACTGTTACCAGTAAGTTATAAGTCATATAGGTATATCTATAATATTTTGTACCGTATCACTTTCACCTTCTTTCTCGGATTTATACGTCGAAAAAATATCGTACAACTTTCTTATATCTTTTATATTAAATTCATTATATTGACAAATATTGTGTTATTAAAAAATGAGAAAAAATATTAATAATTGTCCTTGGTAGCTATTTTCTACGTTACTCAGATTGATGACAAATTGAGGTCAAAAGTTGACTATTTGAACTCATCGCCTTTTTCTTTCTGTCATAAGTCTGATAATAATGACAATCTGTGAGCTTCCACTGTAGAAATAATTCAATTATATCCATTTGTTCCGTTTTAAACCGACAGTGGAAGACTACTATTACATCTTACTAATTTTATAAATGCGAATGGTTTTTCTTATTCGATACATGTTTGTTAGGAGGTATTTCCGACTGAAATTTGGCATAGATGTAGAACATAATCTGGATGAACACTACTAATTAAGTTTCCTTTTAATTCCGTTCGAACGGAATTGCGCCCGACAGATAATTCGCTGATAATTGTGCATTACCCTTTTGCAGTCTGAAATAAATAAATGTAGTCTTTTTAATTTTCAATTAAATTAACCATAGAGTTAACATAAACTAGAAGCTACTTGTTAACAATTAAAACAAATAGAAATAGACAGAGGTGACGAAAATTAACACCCGGACGTTCACAGAGAAAGTTGTGTACAAATTTCTTTCTCGCTTCCAAACTATGACGTACCATACCGGAGAAAAGGTTGCCAACCTGTTTCAACCATAAACCGGTCGAAGTTTGACTTTTATTGTTAAACATGCCCTTAAATCAGTGATTTAATGCTTAAACCTACTTAAGGTTAAACCAAGCATGTAGTACACTCAGGAAAGCTAAACAAAGCGAAATAAATCGCAAAAGATATAAAAACTTTTTGCGTTCCATTATCGTTTTGAAAATGGAACGCAGTTTGGTTGACGTAAATTTGGAATTTTAATTTAAGTCTATGCTCAGTTGATATTAATTAAATAGCTTCGGTTACGCTTTCGTGGCGGTGTGTTAGAGACCTTACAGTAAATTAAGTTTAAAAGTACTTATCATTTGTTTATTAAAAAACAAATATTACGCTTAAGATTCACGTTATTTTTTAAATCGCTCATAACA